CTGAATGAACATAAACAAACCTCGACTCAGGGCGCCGCCATGTTGGATTGCATAGAACGCTCACCAAATTCTGATTGGTAGAGAGGATATATCGCATTTAGGCTCAAAATAGGTTCGGCGTTTATCGCGGTTTGGAAAGGAACTGCATCTTGCCGTACATGTTAAACAAGGATATATAGCGATTTGGCATGAAACGTTGATAGAGCAGTGAATAGGTTCAGTACACAGCAAAATGGCACGACAAACTCAATTTTTTTCAATTTGGCGTTTATAGCGTTTTGGAAAAGAACTCCTCATATGTTGTGTGCCCTCCTGACTTCACTCTCTTCTTCCCGGACTGCAACCGGACAACATGACCTTAGTTGCTCTCTAATAAAGTTCCCTTTTGCACCTTCCTTGCACCGCCTCTGACTCCCTATCTCTCGGCACTACACTGGTGACCCTGACAAGTCTCGAGAAGTTTCCGGGACGGACCCGAACACGGCAAAAGGAACTCAAGTTTCTTTCTCGAAATGCCAGGGATTTTTTGGAATCGTCCGTGGCTGCCACCGGCACACGGACTGAGGCTCGGTGCGTGCCCCGCAGAAGAGCTGGGGACGTTGCTCGCCATTCCGGCATCAGCCTTGCACGACCTGCTGGGCCGACCAGCAACCCGATTGCTACCTCGTGGGTTTGTTTCTTCGGGGCGTGCGGTGTGGAAATTGATGTAAAGTATTATGCAGAAAATGTGATGCAGCATATTTTTGGTATATTCATTTTAATGTCACCCATATATAAGAGGTGTATTGCATCATGTTATCCCTAATATATGTGTGAAGTACATTTTTCCTCTTAAATATAGAGGTTTTTTATAGATTCCTGAAACAATGTTCCCTTTTTCTTAAAAGTAGATTAGTGCAATAGTCTTTTTCTTCCACTTTTACCCTTTTATCAAAAGGGTGTTTTTAGGCTATTTTTGAGGAGGTAAAATGCAGAATTACTTGTGAGTTCTGTTTTGAGTGAAAAGATTACCCCTTTGAGTGCTTTTCTTGGTTACCCATTAATAGGCTTTGCAAATTAACAAGAAGAACTGCGAGGGACATTTCCCCCAGATATAATGGTTAAATTCTTCTTAAGTTAATGATGCGCATCCTGCAGGCCTTGAGAATTGAGTCACACAGTTAAGAGAGACAATGGTCCTTCTGATTCTGGGTAAGCTGACTTCGGGTGGATGGAAGTTCAGAGAGGGCCTGGAGGTATGAAGACAGTTAGGCGTTGTTGGTTAGCTGGTCCTGAGGAGGTCATGAGATGATGATTGTTAAATTCCCAACAAGTATGGCTTTCATAAAGAAAAACCTATGACTTGTGTGATAAGATACATGATAAGATGTGTTTTGCTGCAAACTGAGCCTGTTTGGTTCTCTGCTGGCACGCGCTGATTCGCTGTGACACAGCATCTTTTGCATCTCCCAATGAGATGACCTGAAAAGATGACCAGCTGACCTAACCCCTCCTGTTTATTCTTGTATATCTCCTGTTGACTCCTGGCGTTCGCTCTCTCTTCTCGGGCTGCCAGGACCGAAGGATCTAAGCAGCACGCGAACCCGGGCAGGAGTACTCCTTACATTACAGTATATTATATTGTATTATATTGTATTGTAATGTATTATATTGCATTGCATTATTACCTTTTATAATTAAAACAGATTATTGTTTAAACTGGTATCCTGGTGTTTTCTGATTTCCTTCCTGTTATGATTTTAAGCAGGACTCGCCAAAACGACACGCGGAGCCGAGTTGGGTTGTAAAAACCTCAAGACTCACAACAGCGGCTGCACGTCCCGGCTGCGCTAGCTGACGACGACTAGCGGCTAACCACGAAGGGCTAACGACGGCTAGCAGCTACCCATGGCTGCCAGCTAACGGCTAAAGGCCAGCTGCTAACGGCTGTCGACATATTTCTGTTAACATCTGACTGTTAACAATTTTTTCCGGTGCCGGAGAGGAGGTTCGACCAGCCGGTTGACCTTGTGTGGACACTCTCACCTTTTTCACCACCTCGACGGCGGTTCCAGACGCCACTCACGTTTTCATCGCCGCCTGGGTGGTGCACTCCTGGACCCCGTCTCGCCTCGACAGTTCCGGACGTCGCCCATGCTGCCATCGGCCCATGGGTGGCGCGCTCCGGGACCCTGTCTGGCCTCTCATTTGTCCACGGCTCCTACCTCCCGGGGACACCTCAACACCTGCTGAGGACTTCGTGCCCGCCGCCGCTGCGCGTCTGCCTGCGGCCGGGTTGCACTCTTTCCTCCCGGGGAGACTGCTCCTGCCTTCCGGGGACACCTCGACGCCTGCCGAGGACTTCGTGCCCGCCGCCGTTGTGCGTCTGCGGGTGACTGCTCCTGCCTCCCTGGGATTCCGCTCTGTCCTTCCGGAGATTTCATGTCCGCCGCCGCTGTGCCTTCACCTGCGGCTGGGCAGCGCTCTTTCCTGCTGGGTTCGCCAGACACCTACTGCGGCCCCCTTACGACGGCCCGTTCCAAGGCCCGGCCCTCACCTGCGACCCCACCCTCCTCGGCCCCTGTGGTGCTTCCTCCACGGACGCGAGGATTTTTTGCCATGTTTTGAATTCTGGGGGGGCTTGTGTGGTGACCACCTATTTATACACTGGGTACATAATTCATACATGGAACTAGAGTTGGGGGTATTGTTCCCACACGGACATGTTATGTGTTTTCTATATATGTTGTGTGCCCTCCTGACTTCACTCTCTTCTTCCCGGACTGCAACTGGACAACATGACCTTAGTTGCTCTCTAATAAAGTTCCCTTTTGCACCTTCATTGCACCGCCTCCGACTCCCTATCTCTCGGCACTACAATATAAGACTATAACAACCGACCGTCGGGACAGCGTTCTCATGGCGTCTATTATCAACGCTATGGGAGGTCTATGGGACGCCCTGACCGTTGAAAACTAACTCTCAAGGGGTACCCTGTCTGTAATAGAGTGACGGGGAGGGGCCCTGACCGACCGTCAACATGTGACGGGTTGGGAGTGAGAACGTGTTGTTTAGTTATATGACAATGTTTACGTACTTACAAAGAAACATTTTCTAAAGTGTTTGAGTTATTTACTGAGTTGACTGTCTTAGTTGTAATGTAGTGGTTGTTGTTTACTATGTATTTAATATCTTTGTTGTCACGATCTCTCCGTATGTGTTCTGTTTTATTGTTTCGGAGACCAGGCTTTGATTCATCAATTTGGGAACAACTGTGTTTGGATTAGACGCCGAAACCACTCTTCACGTCAAAGAATAAACCATTCACAACAAAGTTAGATTATCGAGGAAAGACTCTAATCTTTCAGGGAGATGTTGAAGAACATGAGAAGCAACAATAATCTGCTCGGTGAACTAATGTCCCTTCAAAAGAGGCAGTGCAGTGATGGAAGAAGTACTCTGATATACAGTATTTAGGTCAATGTATTTCACGACATCGCACCACTAGCAAAGTGTCATGTCTGGCCGTATGCTTGAAATAAATAATATGCAGCATTTGGATGTTGCTTAACTAACTGGAAGAGGTTTCATTGTGAATATAGCAGCGATTTAAATGTCTCTATTTATAAAATACTTACCTGTGATGAGGAATAAATAAGGCAGTCGAACACAATATAACTCAAAGAAAGACGGACCTTTTAATATGGATAACTTCCCAAATGGCTGAGTTGTCATTTAGTTTGGATGATATTTCATTGAGCATGACTTCAGGTATTTATTCATGAGTTTATTTCTCATGTGAAATGCAGAAAAACGTGGTAACAGATTACAGTAACATGATGACGTGTTGGTTATGGGATTTATAGATAATTAGGATCATTTACAACCATTATCCCTGTCATTCATATCCTTCCTAATTCCATCAGTTACTTTAAAAACATGATACATGAGTCCTATTACCTTGGTTGCTGATTGGCTAATGGTTACATCGTTATGACATCATAAAGTGGCCAAAATCTGATCAGCTCATTTTCAGACAGGTTTTTATAGAAATGGATCAAAAAGAGAGAGAATCTTTGTTCTCTTTACACAGAGGGGACACATGTTGATGTAGAAGAGACATGAAGAAGAGGGGACACATGTTGATGTAGAAGAGACATGAAGAAGAGGGGACACATGTTGATGTAGAAGAGACATGAAGAAGAGGGGACACGTGTTGATGTAGAAGAGACATGAAGAAGAGGGGACATGTTGATGTAGAAGAGACATGAAGAAGAGAGGACACATGTTGATGAAGAAGAGACATGAAGAAGAGGGGACACATGTTGATGAAGAAGAGACATGAAGAAGAGGGGACACATGTTGATGTAGAAGAGACATGAAGAACAGGGGACACATGTTGATGTAGAAGAGACATGAAGAACAGGGGACACATGTTGATGAAGAAGAGACATGAAGAACAGGGGACACATGTTGATGAAGAAGAGACATGAAGAACAGGGGACACATGTTGATGTAGAAGAGACATGAAGAAGAGGGGACACATGTTGATGAAGAAGAGACATGAAGAAGAGGGACACATGTTGATGTAGAAGAGACATGAAGAAGAGGGGACACATGTTGATGTAGAAGAGACATGAAGAAGAGGGGACACATGTTGATGTAGAAGAGACATGAAGAACAGGGGACACATGTTGATGAAGAAGAGACATGAAGAACAGGGGACACATGTTGATGAAGAAGAGACATGAAGAAGAGGGGACACATGTTGATGAAGAAGAGACATGAAGAAGAGGGACACATGTTGATGTAGAAGAGACATGAAGAAGAGAGGACACATGTTGATGAAGAAGAGACATGAAGAAGAGGGGACACATGTTGATGTAGAAGAGACATGAAGAAGAGGGGACACATGTTGATGTAGAAGAGACATGAAGAAGAGGGGACACATGTTGATGTAGAAGAGACATGAAGAAGAGGGGACACATGTTGATGTAGAAGAGACATGAAGAACAGGGGACACATGTTGATGTAGAAGAGACATGAAGAAGAGGGGACACATGTTGATGTAGAAGAGACATGGAAAAGTGGATTTTGCATAATAGGTGACCTTTAATTCACCAACATTGTCTTCTGCTCCACGTCCTGGATGGTCTCCGGCAGCCTCTCCTTCAGGGTCTCGGGCAGCAGCAGCGCCACCAGGCCGGAGACTGAGGCCACGGAGCAGATGATGATCTGAGGAAGAGGAGTCCAGAAGTCCTCCAGCATCAGAATCAGAGGAGCCACAGTGACCCCCAGACGACTTATGAAGCTGGTGTAGCCCAGGCCGTTCTGCCTGGAGAGAAGGAAGGGGACGGTGAATCATTAGAAATGGTAACGCAATGGTAATGTATTGTTTTTTGTGTGTAATTTTTCAGTATTTATAATTATTTATCAGTGAGTCTTTGCACCCGAGTCTTTGCACCCGAGTCTGTGCACCCGAGTCTTTGCACCCGAGTCTTTGCACCTGAGTCTTGTGTAATTCCTATCACGTACCTGACGACTGTGGGGTAAAGCTCCGTTGTGTAGAGGAAGAGGGTCGTGAAAGCAGCTTCGGAGAGACCTTTTCCAAGAATGGCGACAACAATACGCAGATGCCACAGATCTAGAAAGAAAGTAGATGCAAGTGTCAATTGACCGTTCACCAAACAGCCTATAAATGGTTGTGTTTAGTAAAGTTTAGTTGATTTGTTTATAAGAGAACTAAAGAAGAGAAATAAAATGCAAACAACACATGTTACTACATACGTGTCACATATAGCACATCACAACCACACAACAGAAACGAGGGGTCCATGATCACAACATGTAACACACTCGCCATATCCAACACAGACTACTAGTGTGTGTAGTTCTCAGTGAACCATGTTTTTAAGTGAGCTGTAAAGCTGGTATGTGCACTGTATGAATGTCTTTGATTTGAGTGGGTAGAGAGTTCCAGTTTTGTAATTCTGTGACCGAGAATGACGTTTTCCCGTCACCTTGAGGTAGGAAGATGTTGATGGCGATGCAGAGTCCCGTCAGCAGCAGCGTTCCCGCCTGACACTTCCTCCGCCCCACGATGTTCAGACAGCAGTAGACCATCAGCTTGGCGGGCACTTCGATGGCGGCGTAGATGAAGTGTGTGAGGTAAATGTTCAAACCCAAGCCGCCGATGTTCAGGCTGATGCCGTAATACGTGGAGGCAACTCCATACCTTCAGGGAACAATAAACAACACCTCGTTGATCATTCATGTTGAATTCAAATGTATTTCTAGATGTTTTTTCGAGACGATACCCACCACACAATCCCAGTCAGAAGAGTGAGTTTCCTCATCTTCGGGGTCTTGATCAGGTCGAGGTATGTGTAGTTTTTGTCCTTATTTTCCTCGTCTTCTATGCTGGACAGTGTCTGTTCAGAGAAAGAAGTAAGGTTAAATACTTTTAGACGTCCCATGTAAATATTGACATATTTATTATTGGCTGTGCTTATTTCCTTCCCTTAGAAACTTAAGGTTTTATTATGACTTTTTCCTGTTTGATTCTGAACTTTCAACACCAATCATCCCTCTCTTTAACAACAACCCTTAAATGGCCAAGCTCATGTACATATTAAGTAGTTGTTGTGCTCCCTCTCTCTGTTTCTTATCTATATCTAATAGAACTGCTCGGGTCTTGATAGATTGAGTGGGGAAGTTCATGAGATCTTTCTAGAGGGTTATCAAGAATAACTTTTATCCAATGACCTTTCCCCTCTCTGTCTGTGTCTGTGTATTCTCTTGTTCCGATTAACCCAGCCAAATCTTTGTTCTTGTTTTGTGTCTATATCTACGCCGGGATCCGGAGTCAAGGCTGATCCTCTTGCTGAAGTCCTGTGTCTTGGATCCTCTATCCTGAGTTCTGGATTAAGTCGTGGACTTCGGGTCGTGGCTGAACCTGTCTCTGCGGTCCTGCCTTGGGTCTCGTCATGCTGCTTCCCTGATGGCTCCCACAGGATTGTAGCTGACATCCTCGTGGATTTATCTTCTCATTACAGACACATGCATTTCCTAACATTCGGTCTATATGCTGTAAAATGTATTATCTTTTCAATTTACACACAGCATCTGTTGCACGTCTGTCCGTCCTGGGAGAGGGATCCCTCCTCTGTTGCTCTCCCTGAGGTTTCTCCCATGTTCCCTTTAAACTGTGGGTTTTCTCTGGAAGTGTTTCCTTGTACGATGTGAGGGTCTAAGGACAGAGGGTCTAAGGACAGAGGGTCTAAGGACAGAGGGTGTCGTTTTTCTCATACTGATATTCTGAACAATCTGTGCTGTTGTATTTGCTGTAAAGTGTCTCTACTGTAGGCTATTTTTATTATATGTACAGCACTTTGGCTCCACCAATAATCATTTTTAAATGTGCTATATAAATAAAACTTGATTTGATTTTATAGTTAAAGTCACATTGTTATATTGTAATGTCATGGTTTATGCAAGTGGTACTTTGTCAACTTGGTTGTGCATAGTCTGATAGAAACATTTTATCACGTAAAAATATAATATTTTTTAAACAAAGGCATTCGACATCAAACTCACCTCCAGTTTTATTTTGTCCGACAGATCTCCTCTCTTGTTGAATTTGGCACATTTGTCGAGGTAAAACTTGGCCTTCTCCACTTTCCCATGAGCCAACAGCCAGCGGGCAGACTCAGGAATCCACCTGCAATCATACATTTGTAAATACATATATCAATGATATTAACAATAAGATGAAACATGGAGGAAGACATACTTTAAATAAGATTGAAGGACCTCTAATTTGGTCATTTTGAAACCCAGTGGTGGAAAATAACTAATTATATTTACTAGGCTACTGTACTGAAGTCTAATTGTTTCTAGTAATTCACGAAAAATGTGTTTATCAGAACTATGTTTGCCTATTGGTACTTCATGCAACAATGTTCCATCCATCCATCTTCTCCCGCTTATCCGTGGTCGGGTCTCGGGGTATCAGTTCCAGCAGAGAGCCCCAAACGTTCCTTTTCCCTGGCGACATCAACCAGCTCTGACTGGGGGGGTCCCAAGGCGCTCCCAGGCCAGCGAAGAGATATAATCCCTCCACCTGGTCCTAGCTCTACCCCTCGGTCTCTTCCCAGCTGGACGTGCCTGGAACACCTCCCTAGGGAGGCGCCCAGGTGGCATCCTAACTAGGTGCCCGAACCACCTCAACTGGCTCCTTTTGACGCGAAGGAGGAGCGGTTCAACTCCGAGTCCCTCCCGGATGACTGAATTTCCCACCTTATCCCTAATATGATATGCTAACCATTCCCATTGAGTTCTGAGGCCGAGTTTTGTTTGCATATGATACGCCACGTTTCGTGCATGCACCACTTATTTTTGTCCGGTCAGTTCTTGGTAGACCGGAAGCTGTGTGCTTCATAAAAACATGTTCTTACTCAATATCAAGCCACAATTATTGTTTTTATTTTAAATCGTATAATGTCGGACTTTTTGGAGAAAAAAACCACGGCAGACTATCCAAAACTGGACTCGAACCCCCCCCCCCCAGAACTACACATGCTGGTTATTGTGTTTCGCAACATGTTCTATGGCACGTCTCTACTGGGAATTGTAGTTTTAAAAGACGTTTTCGTTTTTCCCAAAATTAGAAGTTGACAGTATTAAACTGTGTACATCTTTTCATCAGGGCTCTATAAATAGAGAACTACGGCAGATATGTAATATGTAATGCAGCCGAACCGTGTATTACAATACCGTTATGTGATGCACACTCCGAATAAAGTATTATTTTATTTTTTAAAAATATTTTCGGATTTCACATCGAATATACACCATATCCCAGCGTGCATTGCGGCTAAACCATCCAATCACCGAGCTGAGGATCTTGCCTACGTCTGTTTCCGGTATTGTTTATGACCGATATATTTTGTTATATTAACATCGATTTAATATATTAATGTAGCCTTTGTTTCTGCTAAAAGAGGTGTCGACCAGCAAGAAAATCGGCGAAATCGAGTGTGACTATTAAAAAATAAATCATTATTTCATTAATATTGACAATAACAACCGACCGTCTTGGTAAAGCATTTGCTTGGCATTTCCTGGTATTTCTCCACTGGTTAACAATACCGTGTAACTGTCAAGTTTGAAGAGACGAAATCGTGACATCTTCACGTCTCCAAGCATGGTAAATCATCACATGTTCACGTCTTGCCGTGATACCGGGTGGCAACCGCACGCAAAACTCGGCCTCAGAACTCAATGGGAATGGTTAGCGTATCATATGCACACAAAATCGCTGCTAAAATGTATTTTACTTAACTGAGATTTCTAATGTAGGATAATTGTAATCAAGTATTTTGATGTTAGTACTTTTGCTTCAGTAAAGGAATTGAAAGGTGTTGTCTGTCTTTAACAGTTGTATTCATATTTAAATAATACCCTAATTTATATTAGCTGCTTTACAGACAATGTTTATTTTTCCATTGTTCATTTTGTGGAAAACTATGGTGTGTTTCTATTGGGAAAATAGTGAATGTCCTCTTCCAATATCAGTCCACATGATAACAAAGGTATCCCAACTGTAGCTGTGTACATGACAGGATGTAAGATTACCTAGAAGAGCATCAGGGAGATAGAGATATGACAAGCATGATCATTTCTGACGTGGAGCTAATCTGAAGTAAACATTGAATACTGCTTTCTATTCCTCCATCTTGTGACTGTGTAACTCCCTCTCTTGGATATCAGCATGTGAAGGACACTGTTCAGGAACTAGTTGATGCTCTGTATGTGATGACTACTTCCATTCTTTAGAGCAGTGGTTCCCAAACGGTGTGCCGCGGCACACTGGTGTGCCGTGGGATTTTGTGACAACCATACATTATTATTGCAATATACAACTACACAAAAATAATTACTTTTTAATTTACTATATCAGTACTTTGTAGGTTTATATGTACGTAATCTGCGCGACTTGCGTGTCCACATCTCCGCGTGCAGTGCTGCATAAACATGGCTGAGTCAGCGATAACTCTCGAGGGGTGGAGGTATGCCCATTACTTTGAGTTCGTCCGAAGAATAGACAGGAATGTGACGGTGAGGTGCAAACTGTGTCCAGGCCAGCAGCTGTTATCCACTGCTGGAAACACCACGTGGTCAAACCTCAACACACACCTGCAAAGAACACATGCTAAGGTGAAGCTACCGCACACACATTATTTGTTGTTTGTTTATATCACTTAGTCTGTTCTTCTTCTCTGTCTTCCGGTTGTTGTCTGTTTTGAATCACAAATACACACTACCGCCGCCTGCTGGTAAGGGAAGTTATTGCCACTCACGCATGCGCAGTTCGTACGTGCTCGGCGAGTAAAGTAACGAGTTACTTTATGTAGATAGTAACGAAGTAGTGTAATATATTACTTTTTTTTTTAAAGTAATATGTAATATATTACATTTTTTTAGTAACGACCCCATCTCTGGAGTTGGCGTTCTCTACTCTGATTTACATGAACAACAGGAGGTCACGGCTCTGTTGAACAGGACTTGCGAGTGGCCCTCTCCTCAGCGCCCCGACAGGAACATGTATCTCACTAATTTGTAAGTCGGCAAAATATTTACAATAGCACATGTTTCAATGCTGATTGCTGAAATGTTACATTTATAATTTGTAGTTCAGGACCATGCAGTGCAGCTTCCTTGCATTGACAGTTCTGTGCTGAATTTCGGCTGAGTTTCCTTTGCCTCATTTTTAATGTTGTGACCTGTCTGGTTTAAATGAGTGTGTTGCTGCTTTGATGAAGCCTAATCTGATAAAGTTTCAAATTAATTTCTGAAATATTTCGTTAATAAATATTTCATGAGTAATATAGTTGTCTTTGTCACATTTTATTTGGCATTAGTAAATAATTATGCACATTTACAGATATTTTACATGATATGAGTGATAACACGTGTTATAAGGGCTATTTTGCACAATAGGTGTGCCTTGAGATTTGTAATTGTCCTTTGGTGTGCCTTGGGCACAACAAGTTTGGGAACCACTGCTTTAGAGGATCATACATGGATCCTGAGATTGAAGCTCAAGCTGGTGACAAGTGAGATTTTCATAACAGTTTCTCTCACCACCAGGTCAGGATAGCGAGTCCCAGCGGAGCGGTGACGGTCATGGTGAGGTTTCTCCAGTCGTTGACTAGGTAGGCGAACGCAGCCAATAGCATGTTCCCTACAGACCAGGAGAGACTGCCGATCACCCCGATAAACGACCGGTGGTCCGTGTCCACCCACTCAATACCTGGGAAAACAACACAAATTAAGTCAGGTACAGCAGAAGTAGGAAGTAAACACTATAGGGAACAGCAGAAGAAGACAGACAGACAGGACGTAAACACTAAAGGTAACAGCAGAAGAAGACAGACAGGAAGTAAACACTAAAGGGAACAGAAGTAAACTCTAAAGGGAACAGCAGAAGAAGAAAGACTGGAAGTAAACACTATAGTGTTGAGATCTCCATATTAGGTTGAATACTTTAAACGAAAGTTAATTATAATCAAATATAATCAAATATATTCTTGTCCAGCCCAAAATGAAAATGCATTATTGTATGTTTTTCTATAATCCCAGTACATTCAAAACACTTGTGGTTTGTTAAGTTGAGTTTAGAATCCTGTTAGAGTTTATGGGTGTCACTGATAAAAGAGGGGAGACAGTGTCAGGAGCCCCTCCCCACAGGGCCCCAAAAATGTGTTTATGCCACAGCCATAGAATAGGTCTGGACATGTCCCGTCCTGCACATCAGAGGCCATGCCCAGTTTCCACAAATATGGGTATGGCGGAGGTGTCTTTAGGTTGTTCTGCCCTGTTTTGAGCATAAAAACACTGGCTGAGAGGGAGAACGCAAGAGAGGGGGGTTTTACCCCTGGTAGCTCTCTCCCTGGTAAAGCTCTCTCCCGAGAGCTGGGATTCTCCTCTGTAAGGTTCTCTCAAATTTGGTAAGGTCTCTTGAATTTGGTGAGGTCTCTTGAATTGATTTGTTGAATGCTGAGAGAATTGTTGAATGAAAGTTTGAAACTGGTAACAGTCCGGCAACATTTAGAGGCATCTCCTCATAAATGGCCAGTGGGATACTGGCCATTTATGAGGAGATGCCTCTAAATGTTGCCGGACGATTTTAAATGTCATAACTGAATTGGGCAGTTGAAGTTACACTTTAGTTTAATAAATGTAAAACTGTGAATTGAGGTTTCATATTAGAATAGGACCACAGCATGATATGTTTTGTATGATTGTCATATTGTAACGAGAGAAGGTAAAACTCTGTATAAGTGTGGACCAATTTTTCTTCAAATAAACTGATCCCACCCTTTGGATTGGGCCAACTTAAAAGAAATGTGCCCCCTCCTCTCCTAGTTGAAAGGTAAGATTGCACCCTGCCACACTCATACTTAGGTAGGGCCACACCTCATTACTGATACCCAAATCCTTCGGGATCGCTTAAACAGATTTAGCGTGTCGTCTGAATTGAAAATTAACAGCCCTCCAACAATATGGAACAGCAGAAGAAGACAGACAGACAGGAAGTAAACACTAAAGGGAACGGAAGTAAACACTAAAGGGAACAGCATAAGAAGAAAGACAGAAAGTAAACACTAAAGGGAACAGCATAAGAAGAAAGACAGGAAGTAAACACTAAAGGGAACAGCATAAGAAGAAAGACAGAAAGTGAACACTAAAGGGAACAGCATAAGAAGAAAGACAGAAAGTAAACACTAAAGGGAACACAGTATGGGCTCTGCAGTGTTTAAAGACTGGTTCATGTTAAAGCAACTGTAAACAGACTTGGACAGTTCCAGAAAAACTTGATCAGTGCTGCCTTCACTTTAAATTACGTATTTCTTTGTATTTTGAGACATGCAATACTTGTTGCCTCAGTTCAATATATTGTTAAGAACTTACTGAGAACTATCGAGTTTATGCCGATTCCCGTCAGTCCGAACCCGGTGAAGAACCTGAGGACGGCGAACACAACGTAGGAGTTTGCAAACGCGCTGGAGAAGCCGAACACGGCGGCCATGATGTATGAAGCAAGAAGAGTGTTCCTCCTCCCATACCTGGAGATAGATATAAAGTAGATTAAAGATGGGAAGATAAACATCAGCGGAGATTTGGGACCAGAGATGGCAAAAGTACACACATCCTTTACTCAAGTAGAAGTACACACATCCTTTACTCAAGTAGAAGTACACACATCCTTTACTCAAGTAGAAGTACAGACACTCATGTTTAAAAATACTCGGGTGAAAGTAGAAGTACTGACTAAACTTCTTTACTCAAGTGAAAGTAAAGAGGCTTTGAAATGTACTTCAGTAAAAAGTACCCATAACTAGCAGCTGTTTTAAAGAGTACCTGACCTCCCTTTATATTAATAGAACAATAATGTCATTGTTAGCTAATGAATGTTTCCATGCTGAACAACGGCAACATGACAACGTTTTCATTAGCCGCTTTCACATCAAGTACTTTGCCGTACTTAGTGCCCCGGCACTTAGTACCCCGGGGCAGGGGTTCACAACCTTTAACCCCCCCCCACACACACACACACACTAGGGGGGGGGGCGCAATTTCCAACAGGGTAATTAAAGTTTAAAAGTCTCAAATGCTACAACTACTGTCACAAACTGGATGAATTTGACGTATGTTGTTAAAGGAGGATGAAAACGTAATTAAGGAGCACTATTGGAGTGTCTTTGATGGTTATTGGATTCATTTGGATTCCTGCTGTATGAAGAAATTAAAGGACGGTGCAAGTGGAAAACAATTCAGAAAGGGATTAAACTGTTTTAAAACACATGCTCAAAGTAAGTCGGATTTTGCCGATGTCAAAAGTCGTAAATAATCTACAAAATGGAGGAGACCGATCTGATCGGAGCAACTGTGACAAATAATCCAACTGAAACCGGCATGGACAATGGCTATGTTTTAAAAATGCGCTTATCTAGAAAAGCCTGGTTTGGACACTTTACGGACAGAAGAAACATTTCTATTAAAGAAAGAATAAAGAGTATGCCTTTAATAGCTACTAACTTGAATTTTTATTCAGATGAATGAATCAATTATTTTTTATATTTTATTGTAATGTAGAGACAAGGCCTTTAGTGACAATCATGTATTGTGTTACAATTATACTGTATGTATAAAAAAAAAGATATTTGGCCTCAAATCATCTGAGGCCTGGCGCCCCCCCTGCAATCTTTGGCGCCCCCCAGGTTTGGAACCACTGCCCCAGGGCACTAAGTACAGATCGCGTTCACACCGGAATAAGTTCCCTGAGGGAAGATTACGCAAATGAGCCGCTGACGTCACTTCTTCTTCTTCTGCTTTGGGTTTACTGGCAGGCCGCAAACCACTTCACGGCGTATACTGCCACCCGAAGTCCCCGGCCGGAAGTCCCCGGAGTTGGGGACTGGCTTCAGTAGAAGCTGCTGGGACTCAGCAGCTTCTACTGAAGCCTTCCGAGTAAATCGCCAGAACGCCGACACCTCCTCATCTCCACCGCTCCCATGTTTTCTTTTGTGTTGCCTTATTTATAAGTTATTCTCTCTCTGTTGGTGCGCGGGGCTAATGCTAATGCTAATAATACGGGCGTGGTTTGCAATTCGCCCAGCCAATGGAAATTGGTACTTTTTTGGTACCACCTCTCTAGCAGGCACTAAAAATGGGGGTAAAAGTTCCCGGCACTAAGTACTCTTTTTGGTGTGAACACAACATAAGGGGTACTAACGGAACTAAACTGGAAAAGTACGTGGGAAAAGTACTCCGGTGTAAACGTGCCTATTGGTCCCTCTTCTTTAGAGAAGACCAGGAAATGATGGATACACGGATCGTGTTCAAATCAATAGGCACGCAATGACTCTAAAGAATAATGATCACGCCACCAAACACACATTCAGACTAAAGGAACCAGCTGTTTGGAAAATGTAAGAAGTAAAAGTAAAAAGTCGTCAGAAAAATAAGTAGTGGAGTAAAGTACTGGTACCAGAAAAATGTACTTAAGTACAGTAACAAAGTATTTGTACTCCACTACTTACCACCTCTGTTTGTGGCACAGTTTCCCATCAAAGTGAAGACCAGTGGTAGAAGATAAGTAACATTTACTCAAATATGTTTCACACTTTCTATTCACCTGTCAGAGAGGAATCCAGACGCTATGGAGCCGAACATCACTCCAAAGAAGAAGATGGAGCTTGTGGTTTGTGACAGGCTTTTCCTATCACAGACGAGGTCCCACTGTGAGGCAGATCACAGAGAAAACAGCATTCAGATCAGTTTATCTGTTTCATTATGCAGGGCCAGTGGCGGCCGGCCCATAGGGGCGTTAGGGGCGCCGCCCCCCCTCTTCCCACATTAAAATTAAAAAAAAAAAAAAAAGTTTTATTTTTTATTTTTAATAAACAAGCTAAATATTATATAATTGGTATCAGTCAAATGTATAATCTACAATAAAATCTCGTTTAAAATTGTGTTACGATAAGTCACATGTTTCCTGCCTGGCCTTGCCCGTGTATCATTACCCTCTCTCGTCTGGGCGCTATGCACAGCGCCCAGACAAGAGTGCAGCAAGTGCAGCAAAAGCCAACTGTTGCTATCTTTAAACTATGCCGCCAAAACATAATTTCAGCCAATCGGCGTCGTCAAATCTGATGGTCACAGGCAGACCCGCCCATCCAGGATTTGGGCCTGCTGTTTTAATCAGGGCTGAATACAACATTTTAATTGTTTTATTATTATGTTTATTGTTGTTATTTGTAGAGCTTTGTCCTAACATTTATTTTTGTATTAAACTCTGTTGAAAGATTAGTTGAATATCATTTTTGTATTTTGCTAGGAAATTCTGAATGAAATTCTGAATGAAAGGCTGCGCACGAGACTGGTTTTTCGCTGGGTTGAGTCGTGTGGGGTCTTGAGTGAGATGCGGCACAGCAGCCTGTCAGTTTACTCTTGCTAGGTTAGTTTGGCTATTATCATTTATATTTAACTGCAACAATGGATATCAGGAAGTGGTTCACGAAAGGAATATGGCTACTCAGCGCCAGATGCAGGCACATTAGAAGAAATCAGTTACGTTACCAACGAGCTAGCAAGCCAACCAGGGACAAGGGAGGCTGGCGATCAATTATATTTTGAAGATAAATTGACTCTCAAGCCGGCTCTCTCACAAACTGCTGCTCTGTGCGCAAGCAGACCGCTGCACATGCTCTCTGCCTCGCTCAATCTCTCTCTCTCTCTCTCTCTCTCTCCCTTTCTCTCCATCCCTCAACCTCACTCCACCTCTGTGTGCGCTCAAGTGTGCACAGCGTTACAAATGTGCCACAAAATCAACCAATGGATTTGTATAAGACCGTCAACAGCGTTATGGCAACCTAAAACCCCTCTCTTTCCATAACAACAATTCACGAGCGACATGCAGCGATTTCTTCGGTCGTTAATTCAGAAAAAAAACCTAGTGCGCTCTGCCTGGCTACGTTAGCTAGCTGTTTATATTAGCACCTCCAGGATTTTTGCACCTCCAGAAAAATGGCGTATTTATATATATATATATATGGCGCGCGTTGCATTGTGGGTAGCTCGTGACGTCACTGTGTGTGAAAGAATAAGAACGGACCCATATCGTCTTACTGCCATCCCACGGAGTTGTAATAATGGATATATTGCACATGTTTGCTGTAATTCATTATCATACTACATGGGCTGTATGATTACATCTTGTACCGTAAATGTTGTATTAAATAAAGTTAATATTACTTATTATTATAAGTATATATTATTATATATACAGTGCAATCATTCTTTCATGCTAAATGAAGCTCTGTTGGATATCACTAGATCCTGTTACAGCGTAATATAAGTACATAACGAGTGATGTGTATATTAGCATAATTACTAGCTAGCCGCTAGCTGCTAACTGCCGCCTCGTTAATATCAAATCCATCATATTAACAAATCATTACCATGCTGTCATGAACGTGCGGTGCTGTTACGTGTACGCAAATTGACGTGCTTGATGTGAACGAGCATTTTGGTTAAAGTTGCGCATGTGCTATGAGCGCACATACGGGTACTTCTCAGGCATGCCGGGTAATCTGTGACGTTTCACTCTCTCAAAAGTTGGGCCATTTTATCATCATGCGCTAATGAGCAACTCTCATAGGAATTAATGAGGCCCCGCCTCCCACGCTGTTTCCAGTTCTTATTATGCATCCATGATGCCAACGCCCGGTGCAGTCTGTGAGTTGTTTGGACTCGTATCCAAGGAGACAAAACAGGAAGTCATACACTCTGGAAGCTATCATTAGCAGCTATTATGAAAACTCCGTTTTTGACATAAAAATGGAATTATGGATTATCAATAATTGTTTCAAAGTGACAGACACATTGGATTAACCTATAAATTAACCTTAAATCGTATTGTTCTCGTTGTTGATCAGAATAACAGCAAAAGGTGAGCATATCTCCGTGTTTTGCTACCTAAAGCTACGTTGTGTGATGTCTGTATTTGCTTCCCCTGTCGCGAGTTTTGATCGCTCAGTGATGATACTTATATTTCTAGAATCTGTGGAATCTCAGCTTGTTAGCTGAGCTTGTTTGTGCATATCCGATAAGTATATCGATTGATTTATACCTAGAGTGCGTTAGCATCTTTTCGCTCATTTAGACGCTTCTTGTGAGACTTGTGTTTTGTTTCGGTAAACATGGTTCATATCATCAGTTAGCTGAGTTTCTTCCCGTTAAATTAGTAGCACACATGAATAGTCTATTGCATTTTAAGAAGCCCTGAGACACAGTTTCGTGAGAAAAAAAACCTAAATCTGTCTACACAGTCACGTGTGGGGACTCTCCTCCCTTATGGGGACAAATTGGAGGTCCCCATGAGGGGAATCATTAATTTTAGGGTGAAGACTTGGTTTGGTTTAGGGTTAGGCATGTGTTGGTTATGGTTAAGGTTAGGTTAGGAAGTCTCCAGGAAATGCATGTAAGTCAATGAAATGTCCCCTGAAGTGATGTATACATGGTGTGTGTGTGTGTGTGTGTGTGTGTGTGTGTGTGTGTGTGTGTGTGTGTGTGTGTGTGTGTGTGTGTGTGTGTGTGTGTGTGTGTGTGTGTGTGTGTGTGTGTGTGTGTGTGTGTGTGTGTGTGTGTGTGTGTGTGTGTGTGTGTGTGTGTGTGTGTGTGTGTGTGTGTGTGTGTGTGTGTGTGTGTGTGCAGTGTTCGAATTACCCATTTGCTTTCGGGGGAGCCCTATTTTTCAAATAGTGCTTCAACATTCAAATAGTGCTTCAGGCTCCGCATCGGCAGGCCTCTCCCTCGGTGTAGAGCTGTCAAATTCGACCCTAACGCCGCTTACAGCCGGCCAACTAAAAGTTGTTCTGTTCATGATGTCATTTTTAGACTCCTTCGCTTCTTTGCTTGTGAATCCAAAAGCTGCGAGGCTTGGCTGTTTTTGTTTCGCCATATTTTTTATTACAAAGCCAGAGTTAAAAAAATATCAAAATGAACATTTCAAATATCGCGCCGGCATCGCCACCGTAACCATAGCAACGCAAGTAGCGTAAAGAATGCAGCGCCGCCACGTACAGATGGCAACAACCAGAAATATTCACAATTGTAAAACAAATATTCAGAAACTGTAATGAACAATGACTATTATTTATTTCAAGAACTTTTATTTACAGAAACTCAACATTTCTAATCTGTTAAAAATATGCACGATTTTTTTGGGCTCCCCCTATTTATCTCCCCCTGGCTCCCCCCCATTTCGAACACTGTGTGTGTGTGTGTGTGTGTGTGTGTGTGTGTGTGTGTGTGTGTGTGTGTGTGTGTGTGTGTGTGTGTGTGTGTGTGTGTGTGTGTGTGTGTGTGTGTGTGTGTGTGTGTGTGTGTGTGTGTGTGTGTGTGTGTGTGTGTGTGTGTGTGTGTGTGTGTGTGTGTGTGTGTGTGTGTGTGTGCTCAGGCTGAGCTCCGCGGTGTCTCGCTGTCTCGCAGACCCCACGCAGCAACCAGGAAACGACACCAGTCATCCAGCTCACACTGTCCGCTCCTCGAGACTCAAAGGGCGGAGCAGCGAGCCCCGCAACGTGTGTGTATTGACTTTGACCGTCTAGTCATTGTTGGTGATTTTAACATCCATGTTGATAACCCCCAGGACAGAGGGGCTAAATAACTGTTTTGTGTTCTTGATAGCTATGGACTGACTCAGCATGTGACGGAGCCCACGCACAATAAGGGGCACACTCTGGACTTAATTATCTCAAAGGGTCTGAATATCTCTAAGGTTGTGGTGACTGATGTTGCACTCTCTGACCATTCCTGTGTTTTCTTTGAGAGCTCTATTTCTGTTCACTAAAATGTTCAAAAAGAGGTAACCACAAAGCGATATTTAACTGAAAATACTAGGGAAATGTTTACTCAGAATTTTTCTTCCACACTTGCCCCTGCTAACATCTCAGTAAATGAGCTAGTAGATCATTTAATTCAAAAATTAAAAATGTTATAGATGCCATTGCTCCAACTAAGGTAAAGGAAGTGTCTGGCAAGAAAATATCTCCATGGAGAAAGGCCATGAGCGTGAAAACAGAAAAAAGAGAATGTCGAAAAGCTGAACGCAGGTGGCGAAAAACAAAACTCCAGGTTCACTTTGAAATCTATAAAGAGAGACTTGGCCTTTATAATTTGGAATTGAAAAACGCACGACAATCATTCTTCTCTGACATCATTACCAAAAACAAAAACAACGCACGTGCCTTGTTTGCTACCGTCGACAGACTAACTAACCCCCCAGTGTCAGTAGCCTCTGAATTTCTATCCACCAGGGCTTGCAATGATTTTGCCTTTTTCACTGACAACATTCAGAACATCAGACAAGCAGTCAGTGCCTCTGCATCAGGAACAGCAAATGTGTTGTCTCTGTGTCCTCCTAACATCAATTCAAACACCATGACACAATTCCATCAGATTAATGATAAAAACCTAGAGGACATTATACAACTTCTGAAGTCCTCCTCCTGCTGCCTTGATATTATTCCAACAGGATTTTTCAAAGATGTTTTGCCTTGCATGGCCTCAGATCTACTTCATATAGTAAACAAATCTCTTCACTCAGGTATTTTTCCACAGGCCCTGAAAACTGCAGTCATTAAACCGCTCTTAAAAAAGAATAATCTAGATGCTTCAGTAATGAACAATTACAGGCCCATATCAAACCTCCCATTTCTAGGTAAAATCATTGAAAAAGTTGTTTTTCAACAGTTGAGTAATTTCTTGCATTTAAATAACTGTTTCGATGTGTTCCAGTCAGGCTTTCGTCCAAACCACAGCACTGAGACTGCTCTTGTAAAGGTCTTTAATGACATCCACTTAAACACAGACAGTGGCAGAACTTCAGTGTTAGTATTATTAGATCTCAGTGCTGCGTTTGACACTGTTGACCACAGCATATTACTAGACCGACTGGAGAACTGGGTGGGACTTTCGGAAACAGTTCTAAATTGGTTTGAATCCTACTTAAAGGACAGAAACAACTTTGTTTCTATAGGTAAATACACATCTGAGTTGACAAATATGACATGTGGGGTTCCTCAAGGCTCCATCTTGGGGCCTCTTCTCTTTAACGTCTACATGCTACCACTGGCTCAGATAATGAAGAACAACAAAATCAGTTACCATCGCTATGCAGATGACACACAAATGTACATAACAATTTCACCAGGAGACTATGCTCCAATTCAAACACTGAGTAAGTGCATTGAACAAATCAATGACTGGATGTGTCAGAACTTTCTCCAATTAAACAAAGATAAAACTGAGGTAATGGTTTTTGGAGCCAAGGCAGAACGTATAAAAGTTAGCGCTGAGCTTCAGTGTGCAATGTTCAAAACAACAGATAAAGCCAGAAATCTAGGTGTAGTCATGGACTCTGACCTGAGTTTCAACAGTCACATTAAAACTGTTACTAAATCAGCCTACTATCACCTAAAGAATATATCTAGGATTAAAAGACTAATGTCACAGCAGGATTTGGAAAAACATGTCCATGCCTTTATCTTCAGTAGACTCGACTACTGCAAGCAGCTGATTCAGAACGCCGCTGCTCGAGTCCTCACTAACACTAAGAAAGTGGATTACTCCTGTTCTGAAGTCTTTACACTGGCTTCCTGTGTGTCAAAGAATAGATTTCTAAATACTGCTGCTGGTTTATAAAGCACTGAATGGTTTAGGCCCAAAATACATTTCTGACCTCCTGCTAAATGATGAACCATCCAGATCTCTCAGGTCTTCAGGGACTGGTCAGCTTTCTGTCCCCAGAGTCAGAACTAAACATGGAGAAGCAGCGTTCAGTTATTATGCTCCAAATATCTGGAACAAACTCCCAGAAACCTGCAGGTCCGCTGCAACTCTGACTACTTTTAAATCCAGCAAGAAGACTTTTCTTTTTGCCGCCTATTTTAATTGAACTATTCATATCTTAGACTGCACTGTAACTTTTATCCATGTACTTTTTCTTTTAATGTTTATTTTATTAGCTTTTCTTTTTAATGACTGATTTTAAATGCCATTTTCTTAATGTCTTTCATTTTTTGTAAAGCACTTTGAATTGCCTTGTGTTGAAAAGTGCTATATAAATAAACTTGCCTTGCCTTGCAACGTCCCGCCAACACGGCACCCAGACCCCACGCAGCATTCTCATCTGTTTGTCATTACTGGTGTCATTTTCTGGTTGCTAACAAACGCCATTGTAACACATAATCACTGATGTTCCGCTGTAATGGCGGTTGACTAATCAGAGCACAGTGGGCTCACAGGGAGGGGGGGGGGGGCAGGAGCTCCAACAAGCCGTTTAGGACAGAGAGTGAATACACAGACTATACAGAGATGCTGTTTGAGAAACCAATGAGAGTTTGGAACATTGAATAATGTAAATCTATTCTAGTAGACCTCAACAATGGAATTATGATCAGTAGAAATGGCCATGACATGGGACCTTTAAAGTCCTGACTTACTCAGAATTATGAATTCTTTTTTTTCAGTACTATTTTTATCAGATTTCTGACATTTTTCACAGAATTTCCACAATTTCTCAGAATTCCAACTTTTTTCTCAGAATTCCGACTTTTTTCTAAAAATCCTTACTGGTCCCGCGTTGTGCTCTCGTCTATAAATTACAACCTTTTTTGTCAGAACAAAACAATTATGTTTTAGCCCCACCTACATTATTTTTGGGTGAAGTCAAAACGTCTGTTCGCTGAAATGTGTTTTATATGATATCTTTCACACAATGTTTGATCACTGATAAAAGCGTTGTGTTCTTACCTCTGTTGCCAGGGTGGAGGTGAAGGTGGAGTTGTCGTAAACCCATCCGCTCTGACACGGTACCGTTGTCGCCTCAAAGTCTTTGGATCCGTTCACCAGGAGCTGAAACTGTGGCTCTGCAAACATCTCACAGGATCTGAAGCCGCCATCTTCTCCTAAAGGAAGGCTGACGGTCAGTCTCTGCTGCTGGGTCCAATTCCTAAAGAGTCCTCCATCATCCAGAGTGCTGATATCACAGCGGTGAGGAGGTAACGCCGCAATAAAGTTATTCAACAGGTAGTGACAGGGCAGCACGATTCTTGGGGCGCACAGCAGGACGATGATGAAGATTTGGTAAGGTCCAAAACCGTCAATTTCCTCCAGGATGTTCTCAAACTTCATTTTCACCGCGAGTCTAAAAGAACACACTTAGAGTTAATTTAAGGATACCTTTTTGTTTTAAACAACTTTATTTTTTCAGTTTTTCACAAATACAGTATGTCGAACATTCATGACAACAAGTTGCAAAGACAAACTACAGAAAGATAGATAATAAATTGTCATAAAAATGAAATATACAAATATATATAAATACAAGTATACAAAACAAATCAATATAATAAGGAATAGACCAAAATAAATACATACAACAAAATTATGACAAGTATCCAAATAAACACTCAGATATAATAAAACATCACACACATAACCCAAACATTTTAGTTTATGCTATTCTTGTTGCCAGCCTTCTAAACCCCAAGTGTTAAGGATGCATTTTTAAAGTAACCCTCCTCATCAACTCATCAAAACAATGGGACAAACTGAATTACTCACCTAGCATAGACTTGATGCACTCGTGCTTCCCTTCTCTCTACAAAGTGCTTTGTTAAAGTTGTGTTTTAGTGAGCAACACTTAATGTAAGCTCTGCAGACGCCTCTACCTCTAACCTCTGCTTCACCTTTGGACATTGTGAAGTTGTAAATACTCCCAATGATTATCTATGTCCCTATAGCTGTTTTCCCAACAAGTCACACATTACCACAAGAGCTGGGATGTTTTTTAATTATATATATTGTTCGTGCTTAAACTCAGAGTTCAAGTGAGCAGAAGGAAAATTATAGCGGCAGTTGGATAACAGTTTCCATGGAGACGCATTTATGGTGAATTATGAGGGCATTCCTTCACTCATAAACACACATATTGCTCATCAATGATAAGTTATTATCGTGTGAGTTAAGTGAAGTAGATGCATCTAAACTATGCACGCTTCATTACAATGTTTTATTGTTGTGTTGGGTCATTTGTTCCATGCATTATAATATATAAGACGCATGTATATCAGTATGTAGTGTCTCTACTTTAAAGAGTCCTCTCCTGCTGATGTTCAGGTGTATATCAGTATCTAGTGTCTCTACTTTAAAGAGTCCTCTCCTGCTGATGTTCAGGTGTATATCAGTATGTAGTGTCTCTACTTTAAAGAGTCCTCTCCTGCTGATGTTCAGGTGTATATCAGTATAGTGTCTCTACTTTAAAGAGTCCTCTCCTGCTGATGTTCAGGTGTATATCAGTATGTAGTGTCTCTACTTTAAAGAGTCCTCTCCTGCTGATGTTCAGGTGTATATCAGTATGTAGTGTGTCTCTACTTTAAAGAGTCCTCTCCTGCTGATGTTCAGGTGTATATCAGTATGTAGTGCCTCTACTTTAAAGAGTCCTCTCCTGCTGATGTTCAGGTGTATATCAGTAGTGTCTCTACTTTAAAGAGTCCTCTCCTGCTGATGTTCAGGTGTATATCAGTATGTAGTGCCTCTACTTTAAAGAGTCCTCTCCTGCTGATGTTCAGGTGTATATCAGTATGTAGTGCCTCTACTTTAAAGAGTCCTCTCCTGCTGATGTTCAGGTGTATATCAGTAGTGTCTCTACTTTAAAGAGTCCTCTCCTGCTGATGTTCAGGTGTATATCAGTATGTAGTGTCTCTACTTTAAAGAGTCCTCTCCTGCTGATGTTCAGGTGTATATCAGTATGTAGTGTCTCTACTTTAAAGAGTCCTCTCCTGCTGATGTTCAGGTGTATATCAGTATGTAGTGCCTCTACTTTAAAGAGTCCTCTCCTGCTGATGTTCAGGTGTATATCAGTATGTAGTGTCTCTACTTTAAAGAGTCCTCTCCTGCTGATGTTCAGGTGTATATCAGTATCTAGTGTCTCTACTTTAAAGAGTCCTCTCCTGCTGATGTTCAGGTGTATATCAGTATGTAGTGTCTCTACTTTAAAGAGTCCTCTCCTGCTGATGTTCAGGTGTATATCAGTATAGTGTCTCTACTTTAAAGAGTCCTCTCCTGCTGATGTTCAGGTGTATATCAGTATGTAGTGTCTCTACTTTAAAGAGTCCTCTCCTGCTGATGTTCAGGTGTATATCAGTATGTAGTGTGTCTCTACTTTAAAGAGTCCTCTCCTGCTGATGTTCAGGTGTATATCAGTATGTAGTGCCTCTACTTTAAAGAGTCCTCTCCTGCTGATGTTCAGGTGTATATCAGTAGTGTCTCTACTTTAAAGAGTCCTCTCCTGCTGATGTTCAGGTGTATATCAGTATGTAGTGTCTCTACTTTAAAGAGTCCTCTCCTGCTGATGTTCAGGTGTATATCAGTATGTAGTGTCTCTACTTTAAAGAGTCCTCTCCTGCTGATGTTCAGGTGTATATCAGTATGTAGTGCCTCTACTTTAAAGAGTCCTCTCCTGCTGATGTTCAGGTGTATATCAGTAGTGTCTCTACTTTAAAGAGTCCTCTCCTGCTGATGTTCAGGTGTATATCAGTATGTAGTGCCTCTACTTTAAAGAGTCCTCTCCTGCTGATGTTCAGGTGTATATCAGTATGTAGTGCCTCTACTGTAAAGAGTCCTCTCCTGCTGATGTTCAGGTGTATATCAGTATGTAGTGCCTCTACTTTAAAGAGTCCTATCCTGCAGATGTTCAGGTGTATATCAGTATGTAGTGCCTCTACTTTAAAGAGTCCTCTCCTGCTGATGTTCAGGTGTATATCAGTATGTAGTGCCTCTACTTTAAAGAGTCCTTTCCTGCTGATGTTCAGGTGTATATCAGTATGTAGTGCCTCTACTTTAAAGAGTCCTATCCTGCAGATGTTCAGGTGTATATCAGTATGTAGTGCCTCTACTTTAAAGAGTCCTCTCCTGCTGATGTTCAGGTGTATATCAGTATGTAGTGACTCTACTTTAAAGAGTCCTCTCCTGTTGATGTTCAGGTGTATATCAGTATGTAGTGTCTCTACTTTAAAGAGTCCTCTCCTGTTGATGTTCAGGTGTATATCAGTATAGTGTCTCTACTTTAAAGAATCCTCTCCTGCTGATGTTCAGGTGTATATCAGTATGTAGTGTCTGTACTTTAAAGAGTCCTCTCCTGCTGATGTCCAGGTGTATATCAGTATGTAGTGTCTGTACTTTAAAGAGTCCTCTCCTGCTGATGTCCAGGTGTATATCAGTATGTAGTGTCTCTACTTTAAAGAGTTCTCTCCTGCTGATGTTCAGGTGTATATCAGTATGTAGTGTCTGTACTTTAAAGAGTCCTCTCCTGCTGATGTTCAGGTGTATATCAGTATGTAGTGTCTGTACTTTAAAGAGTCCTCTCCTGCTGATGTTCAGGTGTATATCAGTATGTAGTGTCTGTACTTTAAAGAGTCCTCTCCTGCTGATGTTCAGGTGTATATCAGTATGTAGTGTCTGTACTTTAAAGAGTCCTCTCCTGCTGATGTTCAGGTGTATATCAGTATGTAGTGTCCTTACTTTAAAGAGTCCTCTCCTGCTGATGTTCAGGTGTATATCAGTATGTAGTGTCTCTACTTTAAAGAGTCCTCTCCTGCTGAAGTTCAGGTGTATATCAGTATGTAGTGTCTGTACTTTAAAGAGTCCTCTCCTGCTGATGTTCAGGTGTATATCAGTATGTAGTGTCTGTACTTTAAAGAGTCCTCTCCTGCTGATGTCCAGGTGTATATCAGTATGTAGTGTCTGTACTTTAAAGAGTCCTCTCCTGCTGATGTCCAGGTGTATATCAGTATGTAGTGTCTGTACTTTAAAGAGTCCTCTCCTGCTGATGTTCAGGTGTATATCAGTATGTAGTGTCTCTACTTTAAAGAGTCCTCTCCTGCTGATGTTCAGGTGTATATCAGTATGTAGTGTCTGTACTTTAAAGAGTCCTCTCCTGCTGATGTTCAGGTGTATATCAGGCTAAATGTAAGAATGAAGTGTGTAATCAGAGTCTTTGTGGGCGGGGCTTATATGTTGGGAATGAAGCATATGATTGGTGGAACAGCTGCTTCGGTATCATGTGAAATAGAGAGATTACAGATGGAGGAATTACATTAAAATTGGCTGAGAAAACATTGACTTTGTTGGATGATGAGTGACAGTCAAGCCTTGATTTTAGAGATGAGTTGACACAACAATAAAGTCGTTAGGTTAGTAAGGGTTACACATATGAATGTTTACAGGTTTATAAAGCTTCTTCTGGAGATGCCTATCATCTTGTTCTCTGTGTGAGTTGCTTTTAAATCACAATTTGACCATTGAATTTAGAAGAAACCGTCCTCATGCGTTCCAGTGTTTTTAACACACCAGCTGAGTGCATGAAGGAGGGTCTAAATCAGTGCTAAAAGTGTGGTCCGCGGACCACTGGTGGTCCGTGAGCACCCCCTAGTGGTCCGTGAGTATATTGGTCAAATTTCACATTTGAAATAAATTAATTTAAGTTTTTCACACTCTCGCGGGAATATCTCCGCAATGGAGTGAGCTTAAGTTTCACTTTCAATTGCATGATAAAGCCCAGCGCAACACCTTCATCACACATGTTGCCACTTGTTTGTACCATTTGCAGGTGATTTGTAATATGTTCTAGAAAAACGATGTGTCTTTGCATATGTTTGGAGTTAGGTGGTCCGCGAGTGTTTTTTTATTGGTTAAGGGGTCCTTGGTATGAAAACGTTTGAGAAACACTGGTCTAAATAAAGACAAAATCCTAAAAATAAGAACTAAAATATTTGTAATAAAATAAATATACTCATAAAAATAACAAAGATTTGCTGGAAAATAATAATAATAATGATTACACATTTAAAAAATATAAAAAACAGTAAAAAAAATAATTGTTAAATTGATACTGATAAATAATAACAAATATAAAATAAATATTTTTAAATTAACGATAATAATAATAAAAAATATAAAATAAAATTGTTAATAATAATAATGCAAACATACATTTTAAAATTATTAATAATAATAATACAAAATGTTAAATGAATACTGATAAATAATAATAACTATATATATTACAGAAAAACTTAAAAAACAAATAAACAGTATTAATAATGAATGAGATTGATATTTTAACATCCACACTTTACTCAGCTTCTAATCTTATTAAACATTACTTAAAATAGTCCTTTAACCCCTATCCCCTTTTCTAGAAGCCCACTGGGTCACACATCAATTAATTCACCTATAGATTAATGACAGATCTCAGACCGGAGGAAACACATGAAATAAAGACAGTTTTGTTGAATATTAAACGTATTAGAGACCTTACCTGCACACAGAAGCCGAGGAAGGCGTCCGCCTGCAGGAAGAATCCTTCTAAAGTCAAAATAAAGTGATGTTTGCTGCTTTATACGAGGCGTTCACAGACAACGGGTCACAAGAGTTACTGCTCGCAGCGTAGCCAATCAGAGACAAGCTGGGCTTTGTGCGTCCCATTGTGCGAGGGCTTTAGGTTAAACGTGTCATCATGTTTATCAAATAATGATGAATTGTAATAGTTTAGATAATTAAAAAAAGTTATGAATAAACTGAGAAATGAAGGTTGATGGAGAAC